TTATAATGGGTTTTTCGCCGGCACTGGCGTCGACAAGGCCGGAGAGCACCACCAAAATTGGCTTACCTGGGTTTCGAAGGTGGTTGGGCGCCAGGAACTTACCGTTCCAAGGTTCGAAGTCACTACGGATCGTCGTCGGGCGGCAGGTCGATGACGAAGAGATGCAAAATTTCGGCACTAGATTTCAAAAATCGGCGAACGGCAAACTGTTAAATTTACGGAAGCTCAGGGAGGGAGAAAGTAACAGAGTTAGTAACCGAGAATTCAATCAACAGTTTTATTTCTCTCAAATCGCCAATATAATTCATAAGTTTCGCAAATCCGGATCAGGACGAGTCACTTCTCGTCAAGGTACAAAAAAAATAATAATAACTGTGATTAGTCGACAATTCGCAATTAGTAACCTAATAAATTAGAATATAAAACACTGTTACTACTCTTCAGTGACCTAACCAATTAATCGATACCAAAAATTAATCGGAATCGGAGTAACGCAAAACCAGAAAAAAATTTTTAGAACAGAAAATTAATTATACGGCGAGTAACAATTTAAACTTTGGTTCTTTTTCTTTTTTTTTTTTTTTTTAATGCAATTCTGCGCGTATATCAATTCGTACCACCAACAATGACGGTGTCTAGATCAGAATTGAGAATCATCAAAAATGGCTGCCTTCTCGGCAACACGTGCTCGTCTTTTCTTTCTCTTGTTCCGAAACTCGCATCCAATCAGCTCACAGCTCCTTCTCGCCGGCCGTTGTATTGCGGAATGCGTCCAATATTCCGTTGCGATCAATAATTGGTCGATATGCCGCTCAGTTCCAATTTCAGAAGACAGATGGCGCCTCGCTCGATTGCAATTATCCAAACGCTGTCGTCATTGGTCGATTTGAATCTGCCTCATTCCAACGTCGTTGTCCAGATGTCTCACCGGTCGTCGATGGTCCCATGAAATATTCTGGTTCGTCTGATCGCTCTCACTCTAGCGTACTCTTTACAAAATTCACACTCATTCGTACATACTTTTGAAATTTGGCGCTTTACTCTCCTACCTGTCTTACCTCGAGCTTCGCACTCTGATCATAGGACCGTATTGGGCGACACAGTCGCGTCGAATCTCCGCCTTCCTTCAGTTGAGTAAATAAATTTAAATCATAAAAGAAATAAAATAATAAAGAAAAATAAAACAAAATAACCAAAGTAATCGTTTGACATGGAAAATTTTTCCCATGTCACAATATATTTTTAATTTTTTACATTTTTAAAATTTTTATATTTTAAAAATTTTTTTTTCCCCGGGCCTATAATACTAAAATTTCGTTAAAAAAAAAAAAAAAAATAAAATTTTTTTTTTTAGACTGAAAAGCCGATGGGAAAGAATAGACGGTCGGGCTATCGATATCATTTAAAGAAAGTTCATTTAGGTTTTATCAACGGCAAAGTTTATCACCGCCCCTTAATCGAAACTAAATATTGGGAGGAAGATACTAAATCCGCGAAGAACGTGATCGATAATAAGGCTACCGGTCTAGCTGTTGCTGAACTTTGCGAAAAAATATTAAATCTTCGCTAAGCCCAAGCCCCTATCAAGGCTCCGTCCGAGTGTAAACCTTATCCAATCGACGCTAGGTCTCCACCCCGAGACAAAAACTAAATTTTTTTTTTATTTCTTTAAAATATATATAAATTTGATTGTTTTTCTTTCTTTTCTGCTTTTAAAAATTTTTTTTTGTTGGGACTCGACAAGCGTGAACGTTCCAAAAAGTACAAATTTTTTTTCCTTTTTCTTCATAATTTACTCGAAATAATTAAATTCCATCTCGGATTAAATCACTCTAGAATCGTGGAATCCTTCGAGGACGAATCAGGAACGTTTTTCGTCCCTTGTTCAAACGATTTTCCATTCGGAGACATGGCTAATGGAACTTTCCGTGTAGATACCTCTATAGCTGAGGACAATCTCACTCCTCGAATCCAAACTTTAGCTAAAGAACTCCACGATGCACTTCCGTACTTCAACGGAGAAGGTCAATTCGCCGTGAAAGACTTTGAATTATTCGATGGAATAGTAAGAAATTGGCTACCGAGTATTCCAGCAGATAAACAAGACTTCTTTGCTCGCCGTATAGCCCAAAAACTATATGGACGAGCCAAGAGATTGGTCGAACATGTCAAACTGACCTCGGTAGAAGATATCTTACTCGTGTTAGGTCGAAAACTTAAAAGGAGCGACCCATATATAACTTGGCAGAAAAACTTAGCTGCTGCGGTTCCACAAGATTCTGAAAATATCGAAGATTTTTATTACCGGTTAAGCGAGATGATTCGTCGTATTGAGCTCAATGCTCCCGAAGCTGATAAGGACGTGGTAAAACGGACATTCGAAAAAACAGCAGCTACTACGTTGTACGAATATTTACCAGACTTTCTACGATGCCTGTGCAAAATAAGAAGAGCAGAAACTCTAGATGACATGTACAAGACCATCAAAAATGACGCGTACAGAAGACCAGAACGTAGACGCGCTATGAGAGACGACGGACTCATACCGGGAGAATCAATTCCACCTTCAGTAGAATTTTACAGACGATCAAAACAAGACGGTAACCGACACTACCCACAAATGCCGAGATCTTCTTGAGATTACGACGATAGAGGTAATTATCGCGAATTACCTCGCACTTTAACATATCAGGAGTACAGTCAAGCTCCAAGGACAAATGCTCCTGGGCTATTGCACACTACTGACTATTATGATGACTCATTCTCTGACGCATACGAAGACAGTCGCTATAGTGCAAGTTATCAACCAGAATCGCAGTTAATGGGTTCTACTTTCGCGTTCGGGACCGAACGAAACCCTCAATATACGCCTAGAGCACAGGGTTATTATCAACCGCGAACTTACCAAAATTACAATCAAAATCGTTATCATCCGGGAGTACTAGGTCCTACTAGGAGAGGGGTACGCTTCGAAGAAGATGAGGACTCGGAAGAAGCTAAATTACGGCACAAATCGGACCCTTCGATAATCTGTAGCTGTCCGTTCTGCCCAAAGGGAGAGCGTCGGGACGCGTACGATCCTTTAAACGGGTCGGGCGCTCGTCAACCGGAGGCACTGGCGAGTATGCCCATCCAGTCTCCGTCTCCATCAATGAGAGTTCCCAGCAACTATCAACCATCTCAAAGAAGCCAATATCGGAGTTATCAGAATCAATATCCTCGATCAATTCTTCAAAATTCTCAGAAACAAGTCCTAGAACATCAATCAACAATGACAGAACCGATGTCTCCTCCCAGATTGGAACAACAACCACTAAATCAGAACAACATGACGTCACAACCGGGACAGCAGAACCCGCAATTGATGACCGCAGGAGAGCTACGAGCCCAGGCGAGGACGAACCAAAGTGTCTAACAACAGGAAGAGGCCCTACAGTCCATCTACGAAGTCCAGCACTTCGGAACGGGGGAGTAAACGCTCTTCTCGACACCGTTTCCGACCTTAATCTGCTCTGCATCGAAGAACTATGCGACGAGGCCCTCTGTAACATCGAAAATACGGGAGTAGTCGGAGGCATTGCTACAAGCTCAATGCCTATAACCGGTTCAATAAATCTTAAAATATTCGGAGTTAAAATTACATTTCATCTCGTACCAGAACCACCGAGTGGTTATAGAGCTATTCTCGGAAATGAATTTTTTGTTCAAAATCGTGTAACCATCTCGTTTTACTGGAACACTCTAGTAATGAAAAATAAGCCTATAAATCCAATACCGATAATTAACCCACGAAAGTTCCCTGAGCAAAAGATCCTCGCTCTAGGAACAGGGCCGAAAATTTACATCTCGTGTAATCTGCTCCTAGGTAATTATCAGCGATTCCTCATCGATACCGGGGGGGATGTATGCCTCATCAATGCATCTGCTTTAAAACCCGAAGCAATTATCGATATTGGAAAAGCTCGAAGCATTCCGTGGTCTCAGCGACAGTACTTTTCAGACCTTAGGAGTAGTTAAATTAAAAATTCTCAATATCGAAGTCGAGTTTCAAGTTTGTCAAGAGGATTTACCATTCCCCGGAGTGGGAATCCTGGGAAACAATTTCCTTGAAACTGAAAAAGCCGAAATTTCTTATGATAATCAAACTTTAGTTTTATTATCTTGTCTAACGAAAACAACATCCTTTAGCCTTGAAACAAAGCCTTCTTCGAGCTACACATTACCACCTCGTATGAAAATGGTAGTAGCAGTACCTGTCCAAGATTTCGAAAAGAGCGAGGGATACCTCCCTCGAATGAATCTTCCGGACGGAGAACTCGGAGGAGAGGCTGTTGTCAAGGTGGAAGATGGCTATGCTACATGCATGGTTATTAATCTTAATTCAAATCTAGTTGACATAGACATCGGACCCCAAGCAGTCGAAGAGTTCGAGTTCACTCACCCTAGCTCAGATGGGGATGAGTCCGATGATCCTTCTATGGAAAACTCCAATCGTATAACTAATCCGGAAAAACGTATTAAAATTTTGCTTCAGAAAATACCTCTAGGTCATCTTAATGAGGAAGATAAGGAGCAAGTGCAGGCTCTAATACAAAATAACCACGATGTTTTCCATCTTCCTGGAGACAAGTTGGGTTGTTCGAAAAATTTCACCTGCCGGATTGAAACTACCACCAACGAACCGGTGAGAATAAAACAGTATCGATTTCCCCCAGAACATCGGGAGGAAATCGCCAGGCAGGTCGAAAATCTCGAGAAACAGGGAATAATACGAAAATCTAATTCTCCGTGCAATTCACCCTTGTGGACTGTACCAAAAAAATCAAATGACCCTTCTATAAAGAAATATAGAATGGTTATTGACTTTAGACAGTTAAATAAAATAACTAGGGGGGATGCCTATCCCTTACCACTAATTATCGATATTTTAGACCAGTTAGGCGACGCTAATTTCTTCAGCGTCTTCGATCTCGCCATGGGTTTCCACCAGGTTCTAATTCACCCCGCGGACGCGCCACAAACGGCATTTTCTACACCAGATGGTCACTGGGAATATTGCTGTATGTCCTTTGGTCTAGAATGTGCTCCGTCTATCTTTCAAAGAATGATGGATTCCATGTTAAGCGGGTTAAAGGGAACGGAACTTTTCATTTACATCGATGATTTAGTTATTTATGGCAAAAACTTAGCTGAACATGGAGTAAGAGTACAAAGATTATTTAACAGGTTGAGAGAAGCAGGTCTCACGCTTCAACCGGAAAAATGTAAATTTCTTTGTCCGGAAGTAGATTATTTAGGTCACGTAATTACGAAAGAGGGCATACCGCCCGACCCGAAAAAAATCTCGTCACTTAAAAATGCCTCGCGACCTAGAAATCACACAGAAGCCAGAAAATTCATGGGGCTTGCAAATTATTACCGACGTTTTATCCAAAATTTCGCGGAAAGGGCTAAGCCCATAACAGATCTTACGCGAAAGACTAAACCTTTCATATGGACAGAGGAAGCGCAAGCGGCATTTGACGATATCAAAAATGCCCTTTGCGAAGACTCTTTTCTAAAATATCCAGATTTCAATAAACCCTTTATCCTGGCTGTCAGCGCGTCGGACTCGGGAATATCCGGAATTCTCAGTCAAGCAGCGACAATGGGGGATGATGACCCAGACGGTGACGGAGAAAAGATAGTCTCGTGTATCTCAAGAGTCTTTCACGATACTGAAACTCGATATACAGATGTAGAAAAACAATGTCTCGCGGTAATCTACGCAATTCAACAATTCAGACCGTATCTCCAGAAACATTTTACGCTCATAACTAGTAGCCCCTGTGTTACCTGGTTAAGAGATAGCGCAACTGTCACCGAAAGACAAGCTAAATGGCGCTCTAAATTAAGTAGATACAAATTCAATGTCGTAGTCCGCCATAAAATTACCGAGCAATACGCGGAAGGGCTCTCGTATAACCCAGAAGGTCGTCCTGAACCTTCAGGAAACCCGACCCTGGCGGTTTTGTGGTTACGGTGAAAATACTATGGAAAGTCGGTAGTTTCCTCTATGGTCAACAGTGAGAACTTAGTATTACAGTAGTGATTTCACGGTGAAACATTGTTGACTTTGTTTCATTTCACTACTGTCAAAATATGGTATATATCAGATCATTAGACCTTGGTAAAATGGTTCAAACGACATTTTTATATGGCAACTATGGAGTGAAACCATTGTAAAAAATTCATAAATGTATAGTTATTTGACAGTCAAAGCACTTTTGTTACACAGTAAAATAGGAGTGAATCGAAAGTCGTTTCACCGTCGTTTTACTGTCGTTTCACCGTCGTTTTGCTGTCGTTTCATCGTCGTGTCACTGTCGATTTACCGTCGTTTCATGTTCCTTCCTTTGTCGAATAACGCTCCTTTGACCGTCTTTGAATAACTTACTCATAAAAAATCCCATTTGAAAATGCTAAAATTCTCCAAAATGAAAAATTTAGTATTTTTAGGACAATGATAATTTTAAGTAATATTTACGGTTTTTTTTTAATTTATTAATTACTAACTCCTTGATACACTACTAAGCCTGTACAGCCCGGCGTGAGTTATGAGTACCGATGTTCACTGAAAATTAAATTTCAGCTCACACCGGGATTCGAACTCACGCCTCACCAGTCCCAAGCAAGCATGACAAGCGTTGTACCGCTTAGCCATGGGGCTGTCTACTAAATGGTAGCGAATTTGAATGAATATTTTTAGACAGGGGCAGGTAGTTTTTAATTAAAAGTTGATGAAATTTTTTTTTTATATTTATACCATTATAATTAAGGACGATTTTCATTGTATCTTGAAATATCCTGATTCTGTAAAAAAACATATAATTAAAATTTTTTATTTCATAAGCTTTCCTTCATTTGTGTTTGTCATATACATACACTTGTGTTTGACATATTGATGTAATTATTAAATTTATTAACTGTCGAATAGTGTTAAAAAATAAATATTTTTTAATAGAGCGAAAAAATATTAAATTGTAAATGAAATGTTTTAAAGCGTTTATTTTAAAAATATTTTTATTCTGAAAATTAACTACAAATAACTAAATTTAATGTGAAATATCAATAGAGTTCAGTACTCTACACTGTTTATAAAATAATAATTGAACAGCATTTACATCATTTGTCCGGAAGAAAACGAACGAGTATATACGGTGAAAAGAAGGTGATTTTACCGTGAGTTGACGGTCGAACGATCGTCGAACCGTAGTAGGTCCACAGTGATATCACTATGAGTTTATGAAGTGTTCACTTTGAAAAAATCATTTTTCCGCAGTAGAAGCATGCCATACTGACAACAGAAATGCTAAGGTTCCACGAATTAGGAACGGTCTTTTCATCATAGAACTGCTGATAAGTCAACATTTATTTACCATCCGTAGTTAGTGACGCAACAGAACGAATATATTGTTTTTCGACAGTGATTTCACCCTACTACAACCCTAAGTAGATAATGAAATAGCCGTCACGTGAAACGACCGTGAATCGACCATCTTTTCACTATGGAGTCACCGCGGATTTACCGTAAGCATGAAACCGCCAGGGGATAAATAGTAAATCCGAAAACAATCCTCTAGCATTACCGATTTCTGCTATACCGAAATCAAAAGGATCGGGTAAGAAACTCTCTGACTCGGAGGCGATTCAAGCGGTCAAACGCCCCGGTCGCCCTCCGAAACCTAAAAATCGACCAAGAGTCAGCAGTGCTCCCGAGGTGAGAGAGACAATTGCCTCTCGTCTTAGGAAAAGGGAGATGGAAAAAACGCGAGTTCCACCAAAAATAAATTATCATGAAACTAGCAATCTCGATATAACTTCAGAAGACACGGAGAAGACGCAAGAAACCGGAAATGAAGAACAGGGGGACGACGAAGTCTTCCTACCAGCTTCCATACCAGGACCATCCACGCCAGGACCATCCACGAGTAATCCGATTCCAGACATTGGCCAAGAGGGGGACGACGAAGCAGAGAAGGAAGATGAAGCCGAAAAGGACAACGAAACGACCGTTCCACAAAAACAACGGCGAAAAACTTGCGAACTAGTAAAAATGTTCGATGAACTCCTCCAAAGGCGGCCTCCATCGGAAAATACCTACCGGGAGAGAGCTCTAGAAAAAATCCGTCGAGAGGAAGCAATATTCAACTATACTCCTCAAGAGTATGCCGAAATAAAACGAACTAGTTCCGAAACCACGAAAAATATTCGCCAATCATTAAGCAAACTTCCGCCTCTCTGGCGAACTGAAGATGACTCGTTAAATGAAGATACAGCACCTGAAATTAATGTCGACGAATTTCTGAGAGATAACAGCGATCAGCCTGAAGAAGGATCAAGCGATATCAGTCCAGAAGAAACCGGAGGAATCGAAGATCTCAGCGAAGCGGAGCATCCCATCATCATAGAGCTAAGGCCTTCGACCTCAGCAGACGACATTAATATAAGAAACGTCATCGATACAGATGATGAAGAAAATGAATCCGACAAAAATACTCTAACTCCTCGAAACGTAAATCGATCTCGGTTCACAGGGTATTTAGGAGACGGTCCGAAACCTCGAACTCCAATTTTCGGAAGAGTTCTCATAACCGATGAACTAGCGGCTATGGGTATCCGTTATGACCACGCAAGCCGCCAAATCGTAGACGAAAACGGTAAGGGAATAAACGAAACGGCCGAAACCGAATCAGCGGACCCCAACAACGCCCCTACCGAATCGGAACGGGGACGATCAAGCGAAAATTCGTCAAATATAATTAGATTAACGAGTCGTCAAAATAACAATAAAAATAAATCGCAAGATAGTTCAGGAAAATCTAGCGATTCAGATAAAAACAAAGATAGGCCAACTACAGGCGGGAATGCAACAGTGGGGGATGACGCCGGGAACCGTCGATTCGGACCACCCTTCGTCGCCTACGACCCACCAACTTTCGAAGAGGCTGAAGATATCTTTGCCGAAAGACGTCATCGGCCAAGAATATCTTCACCCTCAAGTTCAGACGAAAGTATACCCCCAAAAGGCCCCGAAATAAAAATAAAATTTTCAATTAGTCGAGACGGGCTCACTTATGCCCGAGATCATTTAGTACACTTTTTAGCAGCCGATTGCGAGATAATTAAACCCGTAGCGAAGCTGCTCCGCGACTTAAAATTTATAAATGCCGATGATCTTCATGCCTCGAAACCTACAAAAGGAGACGTATTTGTCACCAAGCTAGGTCGTTGCAAAATTTTTACGGTATTTATCAAAACAAAACATTTCGAAAAATTAGACCCCATCAATCTGATCGAAGGATTGAGAAATCTTCGTCAGTCGATGCATAAACACGACATTCATTCGCTTCGCTGTGCAAAGCAGGGGGATGAATTCGATGATTTAGATATTCAGGCTTATCTATTACACGAGTTAAGAAATTGTCCAATTACGATTACTTTGTGTGAAGGGAACGTCGAGGTGCCAGACGAATCCCTCCGAACAAAAATAATCGAAGAAAATCATAACAGCTTAATAGGGAGCCACAAAGGCGTAGTAAAAACGTATTGGCGAATTCGCGAAAAATATTATTGGCCGGGAATAAAAGATAAAATCTATAATTACTTTCGAGCATGCGAGATATGCCAGAAAAATAAACTTACGCGAATAAAAACAAAACAGCCTATGTCTATCACAGATATACCTTTCGAACCTTTTGAAAAAATTAGTATAGATACGGTAAAACCCCTACCTATGACCCCTGATGGAAATGTACACATCCTGACAATCCAGGAAAATTTTTCTAAAGCAGCAGCAGCAGTTCCTCTCCCTGATATCAGAGCAGTGACTGTTGCTGATGCCTTACTAAATCATTATATCGCTCTTTACGGGTGCCCCCGTGTAATTCTATCTGATAAGGGCACCTCGTTCACTAGTAAATTAATTCAACAGCTAGCTAAAGCGTTAAAAATCCAAAGAATAACAACTTCTTCTTATTACCCACAATCGAACGGGGCCTTGGAACGATCTCACCAGCCTTTAATCGATTACCTCCGGGCTTATGTAGATAAATTTAGTAACTGGGATCGGTATATCCCAATGGCAATGTTAAATTATAACACGACCGTTCATTCAGCAACAAAATTTACACCATATGAAATTTTGTACGGAAGAAAAGCTCGAAGTCCGGCTCAATTCCCGGATTTCAGTAGAATCGAATCATATAACGACTATTGAGCGGACTTAATTAGTCGAATATCCGAGATTCAACGAATATCCGCGGAAAGTTTAACTAGAGCGAAACACGAATCAAAAATCCGTTTCGACAAACATATACATCCGGCAAAATTTAACGTAGGAGATCTCGTATACACGCTGAAAGAACCGAGAAAAAATAAATTAGACCTTTTTTATATCGGTCCATACGAAATAGTTGAAATAAACGAAATGGGTAATTTAATAATAGAAAAAGAAAACGGGAAACGGAAAGTACTCCACCCGAATAAGGCTAAACCAGCCAGCCGCGAAAAATTTGACTAAAAAGAACCCAAGTCTTTTGTTTCAGAAAATCAATCCATCATGAATACTGTACTACTTCTCCTCCTGGGGCTCGGATACCTGGCCTGGGGCGCAGGGGAAGTCAAAATAAAACCAATGGAGGCAAATTGAGGTCTGCTGTATGATCCATTCAAGAAAATCCATCTAATACGAGAAGAATGACAGCTGGTTAGCTCCATCAACGTCGAAAAATTGGTTAATCTGTATCCGCATTCCAATCAAAGTCTATGGGAAGCTTACGGAATATGCTCGGTAAAATTTAACCATTCAATCTGCATGTCATATATGAGAGTCAATAGCCATCAAGAAATACAAGCAGAAATTGAACAAGCTCAACATCGGCTGAGACAACTCCTCGAAGATCCACAGCTAGAATAATTCAACCCACGAAACCGCACCAAGAGAGCTCCCTGGTTCGGCTTCGTAGGCACAATCGCACGTGAGTTGTTCGGCACCATGGACTACAGTGACAAGGAACACATCACCAAAGAAATAGACAAATTATACCAAGACAACAGGGAATTAGTACACTTATCACAGAACAACACTCACATCATCAGGAGTGAAATAAACGAAATTCTAAAACATGAAGTAAATATAACCGAGAGAATCAAGGAAGTGGTTCGAACATCAGCTTACATCAAGCAAGCAGTAAACAAAACTGAGCGACCTTCAAAGAAGTCAATTATTCTCTATGGCTGCAGATGAGCATATTCACCTGATGACCAACCACCTAAGGACTCTCAACAACGCAGAAAAGACCATAGAAGAGGCAAAATGGGGTAAACTCACCTATTTAACAGTGTCAGCTAAACAACTACATCGAGCAACTGCTGATATGATGAAAAAACATCCAACGTTAAACCCACCTCAACCTCTGGATCTCATGGACATCAATACACTAGCCAGAGCTATCGACAGTGGAAACAGGAAAAACAAATGGACACTTCCTGATAATAATCACCGTGCCGCTTTTTGACCAGATGCCATGGTTAGCGTACGAACTTAAATCGCTACCAAAACCTGAGAAAATTGGAGACCAAATATCAACATTGACAATTCAGCCAACATCGAAATACCTCGTGTCAGAGCCATCGTTCGATGAATATTTTCTCGCTGGACAGGACTACATCAACAGCTGCAAGCTCATCGGACCAGACATGGCATGTCCGCCTGACCTTCCGTCTAAAACAACTAAGTTGGAGAATGAGGTAGATTGCGAAATGAAATTGTTAATGGATCCAAAAACTGAAAATCTACGGGAATGTAATATAAGAATTATCCAAAAATGCAAGCTGACTTGGATAAAAATGAACGAGAAAAACACCTGGGCATATTCAACATGCAAACAAGAAACTATTCAATGGAGATGTCCAGGACAAACAGCTGAAAATCGCATAATTAATGGAACTGGACTCATACACATCCAACAAGGATACCAAGTAAACTGCAATGAATATACAATCCGAGGAATTGCAAGAGAGTCAACAAAAATAGACCTCATTGCCCCGAGTTTCAATCTTTCCTTGAAACATTAAACTCGAGCCTAAAAATCAACGACGCAGTTCCAAATTTGTTCACACAAAGTCAAGACCCAGCTACAATCATCAACAAATTTGAACCTTGGGGCCAAGGGCTAGAAGAAAATGAAGAAAAAATGTCATTAATAGCTCTAGACCATCAAAAAGAGGAAATCAACCGTAAAATAACCATCGGATCGGTAACAACATTAGGAATAATATCACTCATAATAGGGGGGATAGCTATACAGAAAACTATCCGCCAATTCCTATCCAAGCCTCGCAAGCCCAGCAGAGTCGATGAAAAACCAGTCATAATTCAACTACAAACTGTTGAAGAAAAGACGTCGACCTCTCAAGAAGTCAAGGAACCACATCCAACAACAGTAACAATCGAAGAAGCTCCTGAGACCGTCGAGAAATCAACAAAGCCGAAAACCTTCCGGCTGAAAGACTACAAATCACCGATTTAGACAAGAACCTCAGCTTCAACTTCGTAGAAGTTAAGGTCATTTATAAAAAAACTTTTTATATAAACAAACTGATGCCTCATTTGCGGAAAACTGAAAATCAGTAACTTGCAAAATAATAATAGAATTTTTCTTTCCTGTTGGAAATTTCGTTTAATGAAAAAAAAAATTGCCAAAAACAAGCCAACAGTTTGTATAAAACAGTTAATTTTTTTTTCTTTTCAAATATTTTCATATATAGTAGATAGTATAATGAAAAACAGTATATTTCTCTCAAATTTTGAAAAAAAAAATGTTTTGCTGCTTTAGGACTCACAAGACCGAAGATAATAATATCTCCGGCCTTGGGGGGGACGAGTGAGAATAGCGTAAAACCTCGATTTAAAATTTTTTCTGAAAACAAAATTTTTTTTTATCTATATTTTATCTATAAAACTCTTTCATTCTACTATCACTATATTTATATTTTATTATTATATTATTATAAGTTACTATCATTATACCTTATATTCTTATTCCTATTATCATCATTATATCAAACAAATTTTTTTTTATATATATAACTGTTATATAACTATAATAATTATACTTTAAATAATAACTGAAAGGAAAATTGAGCTAACGTCACTCATAAAAATTTTTTTTGGAAAATCATAATTTTTTTTTTCTTGCAAAACAATTATTATTTTTATATGCATATACATCTAATGAATATTAATAAGTAAGTAAGAGAACATCGAGAGTCATCTGACGGCAATTATAATAGAGCCGCTGCACACGTACTCACACATACCCATTGATCGTGCTATATAAACTCTTATAAAATTTTCTTTTTTCTTTAAAATAAGCTTTTATTTTTTTTTTCTTTTATCTCTTTCAACTTATTTTCTAAGTTCTAATTAATTATATTTCTATTTACTACTTATACTACCTTCATAACTACCTGAATTACTATGGTATAGGAGAGAAGGCATAGGCATTATAAAAAATTTTTAATTAAAACCAAATTTTCCTTTTTTTATTTTTATTTAAAATAAAATAAAAGGAAGAAGAGAGTAGGAAAATTTTTCCTAATATTTGTATATATGTTCACTTATGTATATATAATACATTAGGGTGATTCATTTCCGCAAAATTTTTTTTTTTTTCGGTGCCCATGAAAAATATTAATCTACATATAGAAAAAAAAATTCCTACTAAGTTTGAGCTCTTAATATTAATTTTAAGTACTTACAATAAAAATTTAAAGTTTTACCATTTAAAATGCATGTAAAAAAATTTTTAACTTCCCTTTACTTTTTGTAAATTTTAAACCAGATATAAAACGGTAGCCGATTGGTTCTACAACAGTAATATTTTTTTTTTTAAAGTTTCTTAAAAATGTTGAGTAATTCGAAAAATATATGAAATTCATTTATTTTTACTTAATTGATAAAAAAATTAATTTTATAAATAAAAAATTCTAAAATATCAATTTCTCAATTAAAAAATATTTTGTGAAAAAACAGTAAAAAATTAAATAAAGAGTTTTTAGAGCAACTTCGAAATTTTTTTTTCAAATTTATACATTTTATCTTTTTCATAATTTATAGCATAAAGCTGCCATAAAATATATTAATTAAAAAAATTTCAAAATGTAAATTTGCCGATTCTTAGACTTAAAAAACCTAGTGACTGTATAACAAAATTATCACTTAGATTTGGCTTTATTTGATGCTATTAAGTCAGATCCGGCTTGATAAAAATGTATCAGAACATATCAAAAAATTAGAAAACGGGCATATCAAATTATATCAAGCCATATCAGAATATATCAATAAATTATCTATAGATATATCAAATTATATCAGCCCAGATCAAATTATATCAAACCAGATCAAGCCATATCAAGCCTGATCAAGCTTTATCAGGCCTGATATGGCCAATTTGCATATCAGGTCATATCAGGTTATATCAGGACCTATCAAAAATTATACATAGACATATCAGATCATATCAGGCCTGATATGATTATATCAAAAATTTTGATATGGCCATATCAGGACATATCAAGTTTGATCAGAATATTTTTTCACGGGATATTATGAATCCATAAATAGAATATTGATAATAGTATTAAGAAATGATCTGATCAGTATTTACTGCAAGATTTATTTTTGACCAAAGTAATATTGACATTTAAAACCGGAAATTTAAAAAATCAGTAACAATTCTTACATCGCTAATTCATAACAATAAAATATAAGTTTTATTGGTCAAATAAACGATCCTTGAAAAGTTGCTTCCCGGAATTTGTACGTTAAATAATAAAAAATTCCAGTTTGGTTATGTATCGACCGGTTTAGTGAGTATTAACGGTATTCAATACGAAAGTCATGAAAATTCCAACATAATATGTAATAATTCCTTTTGTTTTTATTTCCTTATGAATGAGATAACTCCCACTCATTTTTTGGTAGATTTGAAAAAATCTGACGATAAAATTTTTTCAAGTGGCGGAATTGTCATTGTTATAATTGGGCGCCAATAACTAACGAATCTTTTCAAATTATTGACTAAAATAATCGGTGGAACGTGATGTAAAGAATATTAAATACTTAAAAACATATCCGTTGAAAGTAACAGTATCAATTTTAACGCGATGAATTCATTTGATAGAACTACACTAAAAATTTTACTAAAAATTCCATCAAAGTAAATTTAAAAAAATGAAATTCTATGAATCCCTATGCGACATTTCGATATGTAATTTTATTAATAAATTAATTTATCAATAAAAAGAATAAAATAAATTAAAAAAATAAAATAAAATAAAATAGAGCCCGGGAAAAAATAAAATAGAGCTACGTACATCTAAATTTTAGCGAATTTTTTATGTACGGAGTTCTACGGAGATTAAACCTGTAATGCACATGTATTCGCCAGGTGCACGATGGTGCTGCCCTCATTTTTCATGCTTTTTCTATGTTAAATCAAACGGAGTAATTTAGTTCCAGTCGTCGCCATTAGCGTTAAATCATGCTCTTCCCATAAGGTTCGCAGGTAAAAGTGGTAGTCAGCGCCAGCCCTCCCCACCATTTACTTCGCACACTGCTAATATTTGTAGATGTACGAAGATGTTAAAAAATTTTACAGGTTATAAACTCGGCGGTGGCGTCGTAAATTATTGGACTTCGTTTCATTTACTTGAACATAGTATGCGTCTTTATTCACTTATTCTTACGGGAAAAAAATTTACTAAGTAACATCTTACTTTTCTATAATTCAAATTGTATTCTGCAGGCGTCAGCATCGTAAGAATTTTTAACTGCCCACTAAAAAAGAATTGAAAATTTTTTAACAGTCGGGAAATTATTGGTGTTACCCCGTTTTGCGAAAATCAAGTTTTCTTCAGGTCTCGACGTTTTGAGGTTCCAGAAATCTTTCCTGGCTATTTTAACGTAAGGGGGTATGTCGGACTCAGAAGTCAATATTATTTTGCAACAATACCGACTAAACATCCTCCTTTCTCCTTTCCTCATAGATATTACAGGGAAGACTGGATCAGGACCGCGTTAGCATCACTTCAATCCAGTCCATGTTGTGTCTCACGACACCTATTTCTTGTTACTACTGGTTTCTAATCCCTTTCTGCGTGTGTGTGTGTGTGTGTGTGTGTGTGTGTGTGTGTGTGTGTGTGTGTGTGTGTGTGTGTGTGTGTGTGTGTGTGTGTGTGTGTGTGTGTGTGTGTGTGTGTGTGT